TCTCAGAACTGATGCTTTAGTTAACAAACCCTTAAGCTCTGCAAATGCCTCACCATGTATATAATAGTAATCATAATCAGCCTGTGCTGGACCAGTATGTAACCACCTGGCCAGAGCATATATCTAGCTTAGAAAACTGTGTGTAGAGCAAGTAGCATTTTAAGGGTTAAAAGGCAGTCTCCTTAAGAGATGGACTTCTGGGAAATGTAGTTTAGATAAGGGCTTTTCAACCTTTTCACCCATTGTACCACTTTTAGGATATGCCAATTTCCGAGTACCACCAGTCGCCTAGCAAGGTATCAAAAACTTGATGACCCCCCCCAAAAGGAAAAAAGTGATAAAGTACAGGTAGTCCTCAACTTACAACAGTTCGCTTAGTGACTGTTGGCACTGAAAAAAGTGCCCCCCAAGCTACAGCCGAGCAAGACACCTGTCTGCCCACCCGGCGACGCTCTTCCTCCTGTCCGAGGTTTTCATTGTTGTGAGCATTTCTGTTGAGAATTGGCAGTGGGGGTGGGGTGGTGTTTGGTTTTTATTCCCCCATCTGCTGGGTGGTTGCAGCAGGTTTTGGTCACATGACCCTGGGACACTGTGACCGTCATAAATATGAATTAGTTGCCAAGCATCTGAATTTAAATCACAAGACCCTGGAGATGCTGCAACATTCCAGCTGATCAGAGCTTCTTCTGGGCTCAGCAGAAGCACCAGGATCAGTGCTGCTTTCCAGCTGATTGGTGCTTCTTCAGGGCTCAGCAGAAGCACCAGGATCAGTGCCGAGCTCCAGCTGGAGCCTGGCGCTGATCCTGGCACTTCCACTGAGCCTTGACAGCCCTGCAGCTCCAGCCATCTCTCGCTCAGGCTTGTGCAGTGTGCCATCACTTCAGATCATTCCCCTCCCCCGCTACACTTTTCTAGGATGGTCGTGTACCACCTGCCAGGTGCCAATGTACCACAGGTGGTACCCGTATCACTGGTTGAAAAGCCCTGGTTTAGATGTTACATGGTTATATCTGTGTTCTAATTGGCCACTGGGAGGGTCTTGTGGCTTTATTACCAGACATCCTGTTACGTGGCAGGTTTTATTATCCTTCCATGAATCCTAGCCTCATGGCTAGGCTAGGAGCTCCATATCAGCATGTAAGATTTACATAGAATGGGGAAATCCATTATTCCTTTACCTACGAGATGGGTCCAGATTACAACCTACATTCTAGAAGAACTTCTATAATAACTGTGAGTTAATGTCTTGAGGATAACTGGAATAAAAATAATTTGTATGACCTGTCCGTTGAGTTTATTCTGCCTGTTTCAAGTGGAGTCCAGCAACTTTCTCTACATGGGACAGGAAATAGTCTTTATTACAGTAAAGACCAGCATAACCATGTACATTTAACTACTGAAACTCAACAGTTTGCAATAACAATTGTCACAAAAGTGTGCTTGGTTTATATTTCATATAAATAAAACCAAATAACCATCCTTAAAAAAACCTCGGTAATTCCAACTTATTCTGTGGATCTTGCACTCAGTAATAATGTCCATTTTAATTTCATCACCATCTATTATGAGAATGTGGCTCAAATATTTTATTTCTGCCAGTCTATATCTACATTTTGCTGCATTTAGTCTCAGATTTTTTTTTTCTCTTCATCTGGTCAATAATTGTGCTACTATTTTTTAATGATTGGGGTTTTTTTTTTACAAATCAATATATCATTAAAACAACACATGGCTTCTACCATATCTTTAAAGACCTGTTATATTATTTTCTGATAAACTTCAAAGTGTAGAGTTTTTCTCCTGACAGTCCTTTCCATCTCTTCATTTGAATCAAAGATTTTCCCATGAAGCTAATCCTTCAGTTTTGGGAAAAGGTGGAAATTGCAAGACATCAAATCTGGCAGATGGGATAAGATGATAAGATTTAAATTTGTAATTGCAGGTAGTCCTCAGATTACAACCATTTGTTTAGTGACTGTTCAAAGTTACAAGCTCACTGAAAAAAGTGACTTATGAGCAGTCCTTGCACTTAGGACTGTTGCAGCATCTCTGTGGTCACATGATCAAAATTCAGGTGCTGTGTTTATGGTGGTTACAGCATCATACAGTGATGTCCCAGCATCTCCTAATCACCCTTTGTGATGTTCCCAGATGGCTTCCAACAAGCAAAGTCAATGGAGGATGCCAGATTTTCTTAACAACTGTATGCTTCATATAACAACTGCAGCGTTTCACTTAACAATTGTGGCAAAAAAAACCCATCATAAACCAGGCACAACTCACTTACAATCACCTTGCTTAGCAACAGAAAGTCTGGTCTCAGTTGTGGTTGTAAGTCAAGAGCTTCCTGAATAACAGAATAACAGAGTAGGAAGGGACCTTGGAGGTCGTCTAGTCCAACCCCTGCTCAAGCAGGAGACCCTATATCATTTCAGACAAATGGTTGTCCAATCTCTTCTTAAAAACCTCCAGTGCTGGAGCACCCACAATTCTGAAGGCAAGCTGTTCCACTGATTAATTGGTCTATCAGGAAATTTCTCCTTATTTCTAGATTGATTCTCTCCTTCATTATTTCCATCCGTTGCTTCTTGTTCCTGCCTTAAGGTGTTTTAGAAAATAGGTTGACCTCCTCTTTGTGGCAGCCCCTTAGATATTGGGGGGCTGCTATCATATCATGGCACACCTGTACAAAGTATGAGGCCTAGAATTGTAGTGTTGCAGCACAAAAAAATCCTTTTTGTGCTTCCAGATGCCTCTTAATAATTATTTCAGAATTTTAAGTGTTGCAATGTAGTGCCCTAATTTAATAGTGGTACTAGGTTCAAGGAAATTCATACTGTATAAATAACAATTGTCAAAAAAGAAAATGAAATTGAATTTTTGTACCAAAGCCTATGTTTGGCTCTTTTCTTTTCTTTTCTTCTTTTTAACAGGTCCTAAGATTTCTGGATCCGAATGATGAGTCCATGTTTCTTCATCTGCTATCATAATGATGTGAAGAAATTTCTCAACTTCATTTTTCTAGTCTGACCATTACTGACAAATTTTCACTCTTCCCGCGCTTTCATCTTTTCTGTCACCACGCAAGGAAACATCTTGCACAATTCTTCCAGTATTGGAGAATAACAGTAATATGATTCACATGTTCCTGTGCAATGCCAAATTTGACAGCAATTACAGTTAGAGTGACCTGCCAACTGGCAGTTCATCACATTTGTTATGGCAGGTCATCCACTTTATTCTTGATCGTACAAATCAGTTCTTTGTAGTTCACCATCTTAACATTTTTCGCTCAGTGATACCTAATATTTACATCAACACATCAATGATAATAAACAGCCTAGATTCAGTAATGAATTTCATCTTCTGGCAATCAAAAATTCAGTTATGGCACATTGTTTAAAGCACACTTTAGGTTTTCATATTACAAACAATATCAACACTTTTTTTTCCCTTTCACAGTAACTTCCTACCAAATGAAGTAAAAGAACTGATGCTGTATAACATGTTTTTGCTTCCAGCATCTAAGCACTGCCATCTGTTGGCAAATTGTAACATCGGTGTCATTAATTTTCATGTAACCTTTATAAATACCTTTCCTCTCAGGAGCACGCAAGAAAAAAAAAAACCTGATGGACATCTACACTCTTCTTTTCATCTTTACTAGCCACACAAAACTCATTTTTTTTGCTTCCACCTTCCCCAGATTTCTGCAACATTATTTCCAAACTCCAACTTGTCTAGAGGTTTCAACTAATTCTTCTCAACTCAGTCTGCTCCAATCACTAAATGCTATGTTTATTTCTAAGGCAACAGTAAAAAAAGGCCCATCCATGCATAAATATGTATAGCAAACCAAGATTACATCCAAACGAAAACACATTAATAGTAAATTCATGATGCAAAGGCTATCCTTAAGTTCTGACTTCTGACACAAGTAATAAGCTGTGGTTTTGTACTAGGGTTTCATGACATATTTATCTGTTGCCTTCCCTCCCCCCCACCCTTGTCCATGGATCTGAGGATAATATGAAGAACTTTATTCTTTGATTTATTTTTCTTTGAAGACATTTTGCTTCTCATCCAAGAAACTTCTTCAGCTCTGACTGGATGGTGGAGAATGGACACATTTATATTCCTTGCAGACAGATGGTCATCTGCATTCTTTTAGAGAGTCATTGAGGCCCCCTGGAGGTTTATCTGTCTCCAGTGCATAAGCTCTCAGTGTACTTAAAAGCAACAAGTGATAAATCATGATTATAATCATAAAATACATTCATCATAAATCGTAAGATACAATACTCAATGATAATCATAGGATTCTAAATAAGCAATCAACATAAATCATACCAGGATACTAAATAAAATAATTAATATAAATTGTAAGATACAACAAAGTTATATTCATAAGAAGATAAGGAAATAGGTAATACGGTAGGAAGATGAGAAGGATAATAGTAATACAGTCCTACTAGTAGTTTGACAGTGTTGTGGGAATTAGTTGTTTAGCAGAGTGATGGCATGGGGGAAAAACAGTCCTTGTGTCTAGTTGCTTTGGCCTATAAGGTCAACTTGAGGAAAGACATTGGAACAGTTTATGTCCAGGATGTGAGGGGCCTGTGGATATTTTCACAGCCCTCTTTCTGGCTCCTGCATTGTACGGGTCTTCAATGAAAGGCAGGCTGGTAGCAATTGTTTTTTCTGCAGGTCTAACTATCCGTTGAAGTTTGTCTGTCTTGTTTGATTGCAGTGTCAAACCAGTTACAGAGGTGCAAATGACAGACTCAATGTTCCTTGGACAGTCTGAGCTTTCTGAGTTGGCACAAGAAGGACATTCTTTGTTATGCTTTTTTGATGACATTTTTGATGTTAGGTGTCCATTTTAAGTCCTCAGGTATTATAGAAACTAGAAACTTGAAGGTCTCTACTGTTGATACTGTGTTGTCTAATATTGTAAGAGATGATAGGAGGGCTTCTCCTAAAATCTACTATAATTTCTACAGTTTTGAGTATGTACAGTTCAAGACTATTCTGACCACATACAAGGCTAGTTGTTCAACTTCCCATCTATACGCAGATTTGTCAAAGAAAAGAATAAGAGCACAAATTCTTGCTTCCAGGGAAGTGTTATAATTATTAGCAAAACAGAAGAACTTTTAAAACTTGCCACCATTTAATTTGATGTTTAAAGGTTGTAACTGAAAAATAAATAAGGAAGCTGGAGGACAAAACAAAGTAATCCATTGCTTCTCCTGCAACCTCTGTTGCAACACTTTTCATATTTCCTTCCTGGGGTTCTTGTTTTACTGAGATTGGGTAATCATGTTCTCGTAAGCTGGTGGTGGTGGAGGAGGAGGATTTGGTTCAGCTGTGCCTGCTCCATCTCCAATGGCTTGGTAAGGCACAAAATGCATAGTTTGCTGTAACAGAAAAGAATAGTCAATATTCAGGGAGGCACCTCTTACTCTGGGTAGGAGAAATAGATTCTCCAGCTGTGTGTTGTTAACTGTGATGCTGGGAGTCTCATCAACAGGCTGAAATCCTTGATAGCTCAAAGTCCTGATAGAGAATTCTTTAAAACTATAAATTAACATGCAAATGATTTAGGGCCAGAGCATACCCAATTCCAGCAACTGTTCCGTATATGTTTTAGCCTCCAGTCCCCTAATCATCTTTATTGCTCTTCTCTGTACTCTTTCTAGAGTCTCAACATCTTTTTTACATCGTGGTGACCAAAACTGGATGCAGTATTCCAAGTGTGGCCTTACCAAGGCATTGTAAAGTGGTATTAATACTTCACGTGATCTTGATTCTATCCCTCTGTTAATGCAGCCTACCACTGTGTTGGCCTTTTTGGCAGCTGCAGCACACTGCTCACTCATATTTAAGTGATTGTCCACTAGGACTCCAAGATCCCTCTCACAGTTGCTACTATTGAGCAAGGTACCCCCTATACTATACCTGTACATTTGGTTTTTCTTGCCTACATGTAGAACCTTACTTTTTTCATCATTGAATTTCATTTTGTTAGATAGCGCCCAGTGTTCAAGTCTGTCCAGATCCTCCTGTATCCTAAGCCTGTCTTCTGGAGTGTTGGCTATTCCTGCCAGCTTGGTGTCGTCTGCAAATTTGATGAGTTCCCCATCTATCCCCTCGTCCAGATCGTTGATGAAGATGTTGAAGAGCACTGGGCCTAGAACAGAGCCCTGGGGCACCCCACTACACACTTCCCTCCATGTAGATGCAGTTCCATTGAGGACCGGTCAGCCAGCTATGAATCCATCTGGTGGTGATGCTGTCTAACCCACATTTTTCTATCTTTATCAAGTAGTAGGCTGTGATCTACTTTATCAAACGCCTTACTGAAGTCCAAGTAAATTACATCCACAGCATTCCTCTGATCCACTAATTTTGCCACTTGGTCAAAGAATGCAATAAGATTTGTCTGGCATGATCTGTTTTTGACAAACCCACATTGGCTTTTAGTAAAGACTTTGTTTGCCTCTAGGTGTTCACCAATTCGTTGTTTGATTATCTTTTCCAGAATCTTCCCAGGTATTGAGGTCGAGCTAATAGGTCTGTAATTTCCTGAAACCACTTTTTTTCCTTTTTTGAAGTTGGGAACTACATCAGTTCTTTTCCAGTCCTCTGGTAGTTCCCCAGTGCTCCAGGATCTTTGAAAAATATAGTTCAGTGGTTCTGAGATCACATCTGCCAGTTCCTTGAGAACCTTGGGGTGTAATCCATCTGGTCCTGGTGATTTTTTCTTGCCTATCTTAACTTGCGTTTCTATTCTGTTTTTTATGGCACTATTTTTGATAGGTTGGGCTGTTTTTTTTCCCTTTGTGTAAAGACAGATACAAAAAACGGGTTAAATAGTTCTGCTTTCTCCCTGTTGTCACCTTCTTGCCACTTTCACCCACTAATGGACCAATCATTTCCTTCACTTTTTTCTTGTTTTTTACATGTTGAAACTTTTTTTGTTGTTTTTGACTTTGGTCGCAAGCCTTAGTTCTTTTTGAGCCTTAGCTTTCCTCCCTTCACCTTTGCAGGCTTGGGCTATTTGCTCATATTCTGCCTTAGTTATGTGCCCCCCTCTTTACTTTTTATACTTGTCCTTTTTGTCTTTCAATTTATCACAGAGTTCTTTATGCAGCCATGCTGGTTTCTTTTGAGACCTGTTATTTTTCTTCTTTGTTGGTATTGTGCTAGACTGGGCTTTTATTATCTCACTTTTCAAAATTTCCCAAGCCTCTTGAGTTGTTTTCCCCTGGAGGATTCTCATCCATGGAATCCTTCCCAAGCCCTCTCTAAGTTTATTGAAATTAGCTCTCTTAAAGTCCAAGACTCTAGTTTGACTGTGTTCTATTGCTTGTGCTTTCAGAATGTTGAATTCCAATATTGCACGATCACTTCCTCCCAAGGTTCCTGTGGATTCAACACCTTCTATCATTTCATCTCTGTTAGTGAGAATTAGATCCAATATGGCTAATCCCCTAGTTCCCTTCTCTACTTTTTGGGAGACAAAGTTGTCTGCTAGGTTTGTCAGGAATCTGTTTGATCTTCCACTTGGTGTAGAATTTGTTTCTCAATTGATGTCAGGGGGTAATTAAAGTCCCCATTACTATTGTGATGTAGGCAATGTCATTTCCCCCCCCCCTTATATTGACCCAAATGCATTCAAGACAGTTTTCATCATTATTGTGCTCTATTTCTGTAGAGATGTAGTTAATAATAATAATGATAAAGTTGGAAGGGACCTTGGAGGTCATCTAGTCCAACCCCCTGCTCAGGCAGGAAACCGTATACCATTTCGGACAAATGGCTGTCCAGTTTCTTCTTAAAAACTTCCAGTGTTGGCGCATTCACCGCTTCTGGAGGTAGGTTGTTCCACTGGTTAATTGTTCTAACCGTCAGGAAGTTTCTCCTTAGTTCTAGGTTGCTTCTCTCTTTGGTTAGCTTCCACCCGTTGCTCCTTGTCCTGCCTTCAGGCGCTTTGGAAAATAGCTTGACTCCCTCTTCTTTGTGGCAGCCCCTAAGATATTGGAATACTGCTATCATGTCCCCCCTAGTCCTTCTGTTTGTTAAACTAGACATACCCAATTCCAGCAACCGTTCCTTATATGTTTTAGCCTCCAGTCCCCTAATCATCTTTGTTGCTCTTCTCTGTACTCTTTCTAGAGTCTCAACATCTTTTTTACATCCTGGTGACCAAAACTGGATGCAGTATTCCAAGTGTGGCCTTACCAAGGCATTGTAAAGTGGTATTAATACTTCAC